GCCCGAAAATGTTACCACTCTTCTTAGTTTCATTGTTATCCAGGGTTTCTTTGCATATAGAAGCAAATATAAAAATATTTTCTCCCTTTTTTTAAAACATAAAAGATACTATATTTACACACACTGTTCTGCATCTTGCTTATTTTCCCTTAATATATCTTAAGATCTTTTCATATTGGATTAGAGAGAACTTCCTCATTCTTTATTACTGCTGTAGTACATTCTGCTGTATGATTAACCTTATCTAACCAGTCCACTATTGATAGACACTGGGTTGTTTCCAGTGTTTTGCTGTTACAAACTCTGCTGCCATGAATAACCTTTTATATACATCACTTTGTAAGTATGCAAATGGATAAATTACCCAAAGAGGAATTGTCAAGTCAAAAAGTGTATATGTTTGTTTGTGGTAGGTATTGCCAAATCGTCCTCTATAGTAGTTTAAATGTTTGCTCTCACCAACAACTGATGAGAGTACCTGATTCCCTACATAACAGAATGTTACCAAATTCTTAGATTTTTGCCAATCTGGTAAGTGATAAGTGGCATTCTTAATGTCATTTTCATTTTTTTCTTATGAGTAAGACTGAACACTACTTCATACATAAACAGCCATTTCTCTTTTGTCTTCTATCTGTTCTTGGCCTCTACCCATTCTTCTGCAGCAGTGGTATGCTGGAGCTGGCCTGTACCAGTTCATGAGTCATTGTTAAATTTTCAGGAATTTTGTAAGCTGTTTGACATCACATCAATAGCCTGAAATGGACCATGATGGGAATACTTACACAATGGAAATTGAAAAACAGCACACATCAGTAGATACCTCCCCCAGCTGATTATTAAACATTTACCAGCATGCCACTGGTTGTGACACTTATTGATTCCTAGAAGCCCTTTATATGTTAAGGAAATGTTAGCCCTTTGTGATATGAATTGCAAATAATTTTTCCTAATTTGTTATTTTCTTGAATTTGCTCAGGTTTTCTTTTTGCCCTGCTAAGGTTTAAAAAAATTAAGTAGTCAAATTTATTAATCTTTTTTTTTAATGGCTTCTAATTTCAAGTCATAGTCAGAAAGGGCTTTTCCACTATGAGTTACAAAGGAATTCTCTCATGTTATCTTTTAGAATGTTTATGGTTTCATATTTCATATTTCAGTCTTAGATCCATTTGCTGTTTTTATTGGTGTGAGGTGTGAAGTATGGATCCAGCTAATTTTTCCAAAGCAAAAATTAGCAAATTAGATCCAGTAATGTATTTTTTAAATGTAACACATTATGCTGAACTCATATCAATTTTTGTGGAGTGAATCAGAAACAATGCTTAGAGGGAAATTCATAGTCTTAAGTTTATATTAATAGACTGAATTAGAAAAAGAACAGACTAAACCCAAAGAAGAGTGGGAAGGAAATAATAAAGATAAGACTAAAAATTGATTAAATATGGGCTGGCTCATTCACTGAGTTGGTGAGAGCAAGTTGTTATAACACCAAGATCAAGGGTTCGAATCCCTGCACTGGCCAGTTGCCCCCCCAAAAATAAATTTGATGAACTAGGAAATAAACATTCACTAGAGAGCATTAGGAGATGTAAAAATTTGTTTCTTTTAACATACTAATAAAACAGGCAAACTTTCAGAAAGATCAATTGAAATAGAGAAAAGGGACAAATAAACTGTTAAAAATGATAAAGTAGGTGCAGGTATGGATAAGTAGAGTTTTAAAAGGTAATAGGAGAAAACTATGACAACTTTATATTACAATTTAAAGACAAATTTCAGGAAAACCTGAAACTCTTCAAGAAGAAACAAACAACTTAAGTTAGTTGTAAGACTCCTCATTAAATAATCTGAATCAGTAGTTGCCCCACCTTGCCAAAAAGAAATTAATTAAAATAGAAAAGATACAATGTTGGGAGGGAGGGGGAGAGGGAGGAGGGAGGGAGGTTTTGCTGATAGGCCACAATAATCAACCACATTGTATATTGACAAAATAAAAAAAACAAAAAACAAAAAAATAATTAAAAAAAAAAAATAGAAAAGATACCAAAAAATCCCTACCATGCTCAAATGATTATGCATCTAAGTTGTATCAAGCATTGGATAATTCCAGTCTTATATAAACTCAGAGAATAGGAGAAGAGGGAATACCTCCTTCACTGGTTTTATGTGACCGATGTAACCTTAGAACTAGAGTACAATATAGATGTTCCATGTAGTGGGTGTGTATGTCATGACCATATATGTTTACTCCAGGATTAATATCTTAAAAATTTATTGATGTAGTTCAAATTCAGGAGAAAAAAAAACCTCTTATCTCAAAAGATGCAGACAAAGCATCAAAAAACTCAGCAAACATTTATGATAAAATTTTTTAGCAAGTAGAAATAGAAATGAATTTTTATAACCTCTTGAAATATACTTACTGTGAAATTCCAGGATTTTTTTTAAAAAATCTGGATTGAGTCAGTAAGGCCTATCCTTAGTACTGCTCTTTAGCGTTTTATTATTCCATGACTAAGCACAATAAAGACAAAGAAATGGAAGTCAGTGGTTTGAAGGGAAGAAATTGATGTCTTATTTGTAGATGAAATTCTGTAACTCCAGATAATCTGCATAGAAATTAGTAGAATTAAAAGTTTAGCAAAGGTCTTAGAATTAAGATCAAAGTATAAAGATTTATTGTATTCTTATCTGTCACCAGCAGTTAGAAGAAATAATTTAATAAAATATACTGTGTATAATAAAAATAAGGCATCTTTGAGTAAGGTGCTTTAAAAATTGAGTAGGACCTTTAGAAAAAATTACCAAACTTTATTGAAAGACGTTGAAGAAAGTTAAATAAACAGAGAAAGTATTTATAAATGGGAGGATCAATATTGCAAAGCTTTCCCCACAAAAGTAACACAAAATTCCACATATGCCAATCAGCATTTCAGTGGGTCTTTTCATTGTATCTGCACATACACGTGGAAGACAGCAAAGGGCTTAGGAAAAAATGGATTGATTTGCCCTACTAGTTAGCAAGATTTTTTTAAGCTAACCACAACATTGTGATGTTGCACAGGTATGGACACACATGGACCATGGACCAGGGGAACAGACTAGACAGCTGAGAGAGCTTGGTAAATGACAAAGGTGGCACTGTAAATCAATAAGAAAAGGGTTAAGTAAATTTATTTGAACATTGGTTAGTCAAATGGGAAAAATGAAATGGATCTCTTCTTTACTCATACAGAAAAATCAATTCCATAAGTTCATAATTTCATAAATGTTGAGCAAAACAGTAAGTTTTAGAAAAATAACATACTTTGTGTTACAACTTAAAATTTTTTTTAAATATGCAAAACAATGCCATATATTTCTTGGTTATGAAAATATATATACTACCCCCCCAAAAAAGAAATACAAGGGAATGTTGAACACTGGGTTTAGGATCATGTTACAAAATGTTGGGGGAATATGGAGGATAGAAGGGGGTTATAGCAAAGAGGACTTTTCATTTTTTAAGCTGAATGGGTATAGATGTTCATTTAAAAAATGTTTTTACGACCTAAACATTTTAGAGTAAATTTAAAATAGGAAATTAAGTTCACTTGTTTTTTCATGTTCACTTTGCCTAGGTGACTGCCCTGATTTAGCTAGTTATTTCCTTCAGGAAATCAAAGGTCCTCAGTCAGGCTAGCCAGCCAGCCTGCCAGGCAGGGGTATCTAAACTGGTAGTGTGACATTGGACAAATGAATTAATTGCCATGTTTTTCTTTTTCCTCATCTGTAAAGTGAGAATAATGACCTCATATGTTGTTGTGAGGATTCTGTGTTGACATATTTAGTTGTTAGAGTATATATCATTTGGTGTAGCTTTTAATTTTAGCATAGATTGTAGAATTTATGTACTCTGTGAAACTTTCCTTAAACTGCTATTAAAAATCATTGATTCCGTCTCGTTTTAATTTTTTATTAAATGCCATGATTTCTTTCACTGCTCCTTAACTCCTTTTCTTGAACCTTTTTCAAACCTTAGGGTTTGTTTTTTCTGCATTACTTTTCTGCAAGCTTTGTCAGATAACTAGGGTAGAAGTGATTTTGAACAGTATAAAAAGCCAGTGGAAGTTCAGATTGGTTCATGTTTTCCCTATCAGATTGCTATTCTGATTGAACTATGTATGGCAGGAGAGGCATTTTGTGCTTCCTTAAAACCAAAGAAGCCATGTATATAAAAAAAGTTTAATTCCTAATCATGCTACTCTGTTCACCAATGATTTTGTGTTTCTGAATTCATTTTTATTTTTATGGTTTCATGGTTTAATAATTGGGGTTAATAGATTGCTTTACTTATGGCAAATTCTTTTCATAATTGCCTATAGCATTGAGTTATTTTTAGGCCATCTTTTCTCTAGGTAGTCCTAATACTGATTCTTTTTACCTTCATCTTTTACAGCCTAGAAACTTGTCAATATATGTGCTTTAAAATAGAAGTTCAATGCTACATGTCAAAGCACATTTATTCTCTGGGGAGTCATAGTTTTTGTTGGTTGCTGAATTAAGAAAGTGGTTTTTGTTTTGTTTTGTTTTACAATGATAGCTGATATTTTCTTTTGTTTTTGAAGATTTGACAGATTTATAGACAATCAAAAAAAGAGAATTTAGTCTGGAAAAAAATTGTGGAAACAATCCTCAGATGAATATTACCTCCTCATCTGAAAATATAATGTGCTGAAATCATTGAAACCTATGAATCATTGAAACCTGCAGGTTCCTGGTCCCTCTCAGGAGTTTCTACTTTGTCTCTAGAACATGTGTATACATGCGAGCGTGCATGCGCATGCACAGGGAGACATGTCAAATCTCATGTTGGGAGGACCTGGCTCCCATAGAGGCTCCTGCTCCCCATGTAGTTGGCCCAGTCCATGCCCCTCACTCTCGTGGTGTGGGTTCTTTTCTCAAGTAGATGGCACTAACTGAAAATGTTATGGAAACACTGCTTTTGTTGTGTCCTCCAGGTCGCATCCGTACAAGACGGCAAAGCTCTGGGAGTGCCACCAATGTCGCCTCTACACCCTCCGATAATCGGGGCCGCAGCCGCGCTAAAGTGGTTTCACAGTCTCAGCGTAAGAAGTGTATTTTATGCTCTTGGTTACCTTAGTTTTATTCAGCAGCTTATTCTGCACCTGAACAGTTTACAGTTGACTTCAGTGGGAAAAACATTTTTGTGGCTCTAAGATACTGTGGGTAATTTTATTGTTTGTTGGGTAAACTTGCAAAATGGAGCATTCCAGGCATACTTTTGTCTCCTTTCCAGGTGATTTAAATTTTTTTGTCATTAACTATTAAACATTAAAATGTAGTTTCTCTCCCTCTCCTAAAGCCTCTCAAATTGAAACTTCACTGTTCTGTGACCCGTTTGTTTTGTTAAGGAATTCTCCTGATGTAATTTTAGAGCAGTACCTGGAAAGAAAACTACTAATGCCAAGTTCTTTCTAGTGGCAAATAAGTAAATCCATTAAAAGCTCTCCCCTTTACCCCTGTATTCTAACATTTGCAGCCTATATCTCTCTTCTTGCCAGTGTGGGTTCTTGCTTTGCTTAGCTGCCCTCGCTCTGTTATTGCTTCTCTGTATATGTGAAGTCACTTGGTTTGTTCGCCTGAGCCAGGAAAGCAGACACAGCTAGAAGTAATTTATTCTGGTCACTCTTAGGATCCAACCTTGGTGTCTCACTTTCCAGCTACACATAACTTTGAGTGGCCTGGTCCCTCTCGATGCAGATAGAGTAGGGCTAGGTATCAGAGTGCTCCTGGGCACAGTGAGCATGGGAAGGAAAAGTCTTTTCATTCCCAGGAGCCGCATGCGTCCCTGCAGCACAGCACTCGTTAGCTGACATGGTTTGCCTCCTTCATAGCCCCAGGAGCTGTCTGGCTTGTGTAGAAAGCACTCAGTCTGCAGCCAATTCTTAGGGTCTCCCTTAGTATTGGGAATGCTTTGCTCAATTCCCTTTGAATTTAGATTCTTTTCCATGTCTCTTTGATAACTGTAGTCCCGATGTTATACTAGCTAGTATCTCTTCTGCAAAGAAGGCAGAAGGTCAGTCATATTCCTTTTTGTGGCATAGGTTGACTTGTGTAGTGTGATAGGCTACAAGCATGGGCTTCAGTGTCAGCCACACCTGGATTTGCATCCTGTCCTCAGTGTGATGTTGGGCAAATCTTTTAACCTTTTGTGAGCCTTTGTTTCACTGTTTGTAAATTGAGTGATAACAAGTTCCACCCTCATGAGGATTTAATGAGTATTGTGAACCTAGCATGTGATGGACAATCAGTAAGTGGAAGCAAGTTCTATAGCCATAATTGCTTCAGACTGCAGACTCCTATCCTAGCTGAGATTGAGCAGCCTTAACATCTCTTCCTGCTTTATCCCTGTTCCACTTCAGTAAGTTCAGGAAAGAAGGCTAGGGATGGATTTATCTAAAAATGCCCTACTTCTGAACTTACCTGCATTTTCATTCAGATCCACGGTGTAGATGAAGCCGAGAAGCTTCTACCGTGGGAACAACATCCTGGCTCTGGTTTTCCTGTTGAACCCTGGAGACACAGAAGGATGTAATGCTCTTGTCATGACCTCATAAATATGGGTCAGATCTTACTGCAAAGGAATATAGGTCCATATAAGAAAATTGAGTTAAATAAAAAATGTCTTAAGCCTCTAATTGTGGAGAATGAGTGTTGAACATTATTTTGCATTTCTTTATGTTCTTCTTTATTGGCGTTGGCCTCTGCAGGGTTCCTTGCTGCAGCTGGGTCAGCACTTTATTTCTCTGTACATATTGCAGGTTTTAGAAATCTGTATGTTATCTCTGCTTAGGATGTGGTGAAGATTCAAGTTCCTTCTCTAGTTGGGTGAGGGTGATGATAGAGTTCTAATCCTGCAGTCATAAAAATACTGCACCTGGCCTTGGGGCTCCATTTTTAAAAAGCTCCAGTTTTACTTTGTTTGCCAACTTGTACTCACAGGAAGGGAGACCACACCAAACGCCAGCAAATGTCATAAAAATACTGCACCTGGCCTTGGGGCTCCATTTTTAAAAAGCTCCAGTTTTACTTTGCTCGCCAACTTGTACTCACAGGAAGGGAGACCACACCAAACACCAGCAAAGGATCAGCCTGCGTCTTAAACATAACCTTATAAATTAAATATTTTTAAAAATTATTTTAATAAGAGGTAAATATAAGCATATTTATATATATTACAAGAGTAGATATATTAGCATTCATAGTCCTGATTTTATATAGATTTTATTAATATTAGGATTAGGGCCCTTAATAGTTGACAAATTTTAAGTATTTGAGGATTAAGAGAAGTCATAGGACTTTCAGGTAAAACTACTTAATAGCAGTTTCTTTCAGTTCATTGGTGTGTATTGAGCGCTTACTATGTGGTGAGCACTGCTGAAGATGGTAGTGAGAAACAGTTGAGTAAGTTACGATCACTTCCCTCAGGCTGCTCAGGGTAGAGAGTAGATGTGCTCTGGGAGGGCAGGGGTCTTGTCTTATACTTCTCTGCATCTCCCAAGCCTAGCACTGTGCCTGGCACATCGTAGGCTTGTAAGTGTTCCATGAGCAGATCTGAAATAAATGCTTATATAGTATGATAACTATAAGATAAACATACATACAAAAATAGATGAGGAGGAACAAGTTCTAGGAAAAACAGCTATTTTGCTAATACGTATGTGAACAAAGATGTTCGTGTTGTGTTGCATGCTGACCTTCTGTATTGTGTTATTGTCTTTTAATCCACTTTTTGCCTGTCCTCTGGTCTGCTCTCATAATCAAGGATCCAGATCTGCTAATCCTGCTGGTGGTAAGCTATTTCTCTTGCTTTTTTTTTTTTTTTGCATTGCCCCTTACCCTATGTTACTTGCACAATATTAATCTCTCTCTTTATTGTGAGCTTAGTTAATCTTTCTGCGTTTTTTCTGTATGTTCAAATTCTAGAGTTTGAAATGGACTTCTTCTCTTTTATATAGCTTGATAGTTTATTTGTATATTCAAATTTTACGGGCAAAATTAATAAGTTCTGAGACAAATTCTTCGTGGTAGTGTGTATTGCTGATTTTTGCAATGATTTTCACTTCAAACTGTAGTTAAATCATTATAAAGTATTAATACTTTGTGAGTAGTAATAAGTAATTTTTTTATCTCACAAGAAGATTTATTTAAATAATATGTCTTAAATATATTATACATATATATTATATATATTTATATATACAAGAGTACTTCAAAAAGTTTGTGGAAAATAGAATTAAAAGATAATGTACTTCAAAAAGCTCATGGAAGGATTCACATTATCTTTTTTTTTTTTCCTTTTTGTCTTTTTTCGTGTCCGGCATAACTTCGTATAGCATACATTATACGAAGTTATAGGACACGAAAAAAGACAAAAAGGAAAAAAAAAAAAGATAATGTGAATCCTTCCATGAGCTTTTTGAAGTACCCTCTTATGTATAAATGAATTTCCAGATAAGTAGTGTCTCAAAGGTTTTTTTCCTCAGGGTCATTCTATTCTGATACATAATAATGTATACTTTACATTTTAGAATTTATTGCCTTCTCTACTTAGGGAGATGATCTATCTAAGCAACTGACTACCATTTGGGTGTATTGTTATGATGCTTAAAATTTTGCTGTTTTCTATGAGAGAGAATCTTGTTCTACAAGAAATGGTTATATAGGTATCTAGCTACTTAGCTATTAATAAAAGTTACCAGCCATATTATTTGTCTTTAATTTCCAATTTTATTGCATACTTATCAGGGAATGTAGTCTTTGTGAATTTTACTTTTAGAGAGTTTTTTGAGATTTGCTTTGAGATTAGTACACAGTCATTTTTTGTATTATTCATGTATGAAAAGGTGAAAAGAATGTGTTCTGTTTGTTGTAATATACATGTGTGTATGAGAGATTTGTGCATATGTATGCAAAAACACAATTTTTGACTGCTTGCTCTGTCAATTTCTGTGAGATGTATTAGTCTTTCATAAGTTATTACTCTTCATAAGGTCTATTAAAATGGCTTTTTCAGTTCTCATATTTTTATCATTTTTATGTTTTATATTTCAAAGCTATGTTTGGAGCATAAATGTTTGTGATTATTAAGTCTTTGTGGACAGTTGTTTTTTAATCAGTATTAAATATCCTCCTTTATCCTTTTTAAGTGCTGTGTTGTATTCTACTTTGTTGTTTTGTTTTGGGTATGTTGTTTGAGTCTTAACAACATGCAGTTGGAGTTCATTGTCATTTTTTAAATCAACCTAAGAAACTGTCTTTTTAATTATTGATTACTGGTATGTTTGAAGGCCTATTCCTACCATCTTATTTTGTGATTTTTATTTACCAGGTTTGTGGTTATTTCATTCCCTGCCCTTTTTTCTTCCATTTGTTAGATCAATGGAGTCCTCTTGAGTCCATATTCTTCATCTAATGTTTAAGAAATTTCTGTTATATTTATATTTCTGTTCTTGGAGAAATTTCAGACTTAAAAGTTTTAACATATCAGCTCTTACAGAATAAAAAACCAAAACAATAAATAAACACCTTTGTGGTTACGTGTAGAGATTTGCTGTGGAATAGAGAGGCTACTGTTGTTACTCAGCCTGCTCTTTTGTATCAGAAATTTTGCAGTCATTTTTGTAGAACTCCACCAGTAATTCTTCTAAGTATAGATATTCTTTTGCGATAGTCAATATTCTTTTATGCCCCTATATTTTTAAAAAAATTTTACTACCACCAACTAAAAAGCTATTTTTATATAAAAATTTCTTAGTATTTGATCCATATTAATGTAAATGTAAAAACTGGCTTCTGAAATTATTATAATTTGTTCCCTGATTTATATTTATTATTCATTTTTGTTTTGTTTAATTTTTAGCTGGTAGCCGGTCAAGTTCCCCAGGGAAATTGTTGGGAAGTGGTTATGGTGGACTTGCTGGGGGCTCCTCAAGAGGCCCACCTGTGACACCATCTTCAGAAAAACGAAGCAAGATTCCCAGGAGTCAGGGATGTAGCCGAGAAACAAGTCCAAACCGAATAGGATTAGGTAAGGATTCTCAAAGACCTTGGAATATCATTGCCAGCTTGGTCATGGTTTTCATTATAACCTAACGACTGTGTCTAATATAGGACATAGTGATCTGCTTTTGAACTGAGGATGTCACTTTGCCTGTGTTAAAAAGACATTTCGATTTGTGCTTTATACAGATGTATAAAGATGTATGTTGAGGTTTCCATTAGAACCAAAAAGTATGTATTGACTTAACATTCGAATTAATGGGAAGGAATTAACATCATTGTAGGTTTTTGTATTTTAAAGTCATTTTACAAAGCATTGGAATTGGGGGAATAGGCAGGGTTTGTCCCTCGCAATTAGAAGCAGTGTTGCTTTTTGTTTTCCTTGAACTAATTAGTACTAATATAGCCATTAACCGGTATGAGTTTTCCAAGGTAGTTTTTATAGTCCACATTATTATTTTCATTTTTATCTCTAATTGGTGAAACTTATGATCAAAGAATATAGTTAACATAATTTTGACATATTTTTTTTCAAACCTGAAAGCCAGGAATTGATGAAAACCAATACATAGTATTTATTTTTGTGTTGTAGTATTTAGTTTCTTTGTAATAGTGTATAGAATCATATGAATTACTCTCAGCAGCTTGAAGACCTTTTACTCTATTAAAATGTAATTCATATGCTACCTTTTTTATATAAAAGTTAGAAATCTGTTGTGATATAATACAAAAAAATCTAAACTTATACTTTCTCTTTATTACATGTTTATCTACTTCCTTAAGGGTAAAAATCTATTAATATAAAATGAAAGTACTATATTCCTAAGTCCTGTTGGCTTATCTTTCTCATTTATTCATTTATTTCCTCAACAATTTTTACTTGAATGTCTGCTGTGATGTACCAGGCACTTTGTTAGACCTGAGAATTAGAAGATAAACGAAGTAGATTTAGCTTTCATCTTCAAAGAGCTTGTGATCTATTCAAGAGAGGTGAACATGCAAGACGATATGACAGATACTATGACAGGGTGCTCTGGCACCATAGAAAAGGAGTGTCTTAGGCCCTCTTCCACCTCAATTCTCCCAGAATTCCTGCTAGGGGAGGCTTCCCAGAATAGTTTGTTTTAGTGAAATATATATAAAGTGGGATTAGCCAGGGCTGGAGCTGAGGGGTAAGATGTTCTAGAGGAAAGATCTATTCAAGAGAGGTGAACATGCAAGACGATATGACAGATACTATGACAGGGTGCTCTGGGACCATAGAAAAGGAGTGTCTTAGGCCCTCTTCCACCTCAATTCTCCCAGAATTCCTGCTAGGGGAGGCTTCCCAGAATAGTTTGTTTTAGTGAATATATATAAAGTGGGATTAGCCAGGGCTGGAGCTGAGGGGTAAGATGTTCTAGAGGAAAAAGAAGCCTGTGCAGAAACCGTCAGGTGAGAGGGAACCACAAGTAATTCATTTGGCTCCAGCAAAGGGGGTTCATCAGGGTGGACTGGGAGTTGAAGGCAGAGACACTGGTAGGGTCCAATGCCCAAAAGTCCTTGAAGACCCTTTGAGCTATGAGAAAGCATGGGCAGTTATTTAAGAATGGATAGGATTTGATTTGAACTCATATTTCTGAGGCAAGTATAAAAAGTATTTGGTGGTTTTGTTAATTGTCCATGATGCCAACTTCCTGTTGGCATTACGTAGCAGGAACTCTGAGCTGACAAGTTATTTGGGAAAAGATCATGACTGGAATATCTAAATTTCACATCTGATGCTGTAACACATCAATGTTCGGATCTCATTTTGTTTGGAAAATGCATTGGATTTTAAATCTAGGTGTGAGATTTAGCTATCCTTTTTCCACAGTTAATTTTATAGGATGTCTGCAATCCGTATTAGTTTTATACTTTTAAGAATTCTTTTCTGTTTAGGAAATTTACTATTTATATTTATTAAAGATGCTATTTTTACCAGCTTCTTGAAATTGGGAAATAACCCACCTTCAGTTACCTAACATAACTCTGAAACCTGGTGTTGCATGGCCTTAAATAAGAAGTTTGTGCTGTATGTAGTTGAAAAGACAGCATTTTACAAGCTTTTAAAAGAGGTATTATGAAACATCAATAAGAACTAAAAAGGAGCCTGTTTCCTTCCAAAGAGTTTTTATTTGAAATGTTATTTGAAAAAACTTATTTCCTTGATGCTCAATAAGGGGATTAGTTATATATGAAGCTTTGAGGTCATACATACACTTTTGATTAAAGAAGATAGTTTATTTAAATTTCTGCACTTTGTGAGAATACACACATATAAAGAAATATATATGAATAAAATATATCTTTCCATTTATTCAAATAGTACTACTTACAGATTCCATTTTATGGGGTGGCACATATACAGTTGGCCCTCCATGTCCATGGGCTCTGCATCCGTGGATTCAACAAACCACAGATCCAAAATATTCAAAAGCAAGAAAGCAAAAATTGTGTCTGAATTGAACATCTACAGACTTTTTTTCCTTGTCATTATTCCCTAAAAAATACAATGTAACAATTATTTACATAGCACTTACATTGTATTAGGTATTATAAGTAATTTAGAGATTACTTAAAGTATATGGGAGGATGTGCATAGGTTATATGCAAATACTATGCCATTTTATGTCAGAGACTTGAGCATCTGCAGATTTTGATATCCAAGGGAGGTCCTGGAACCAATCCCCCAAGGATACCAAGGGATGACTATAGTAGCATTTTTCAGTAATAGATTATATATTACTGTGATAATTTAGTATATACTGGATACATGCCTATGTGTCTAAACATATGGTTTACTATATAGAAGTTTTAATTATAAATATTCAGAAATGTGGGGAGCATCTTTTAAGAATGTGCTCTGTAATCCCCAAACCAATTAATTCAGCATTTTTAATATAGCTAAACTAGGCTTGGAATTTGCACTGAGAATTAGTTCTGGTTGTCTACAAATTGTGTTTGGTGCAACTATGCTTTTTCTGTTGTTTGAAATGATATTTCTTAACTAAATTTTCTTTTTTTTTTTATGTGTTACAAAAATGACACCAAAGCTGTTTTTAACATCATAAGATTTCTTAAGCAAAATGACATGTAATTCCTGTTGGATAGCTAAGAAACAAAATAAATACTTGCTATTCTCTTTTTTCTTGATTTATTCCCTCAGAAGCTATTTAGCTGCATGGGAAAATACATTTGTAAATTGTTTCATTTTTGTGTTTTTTAAAGATAATACTTTACAGATAATAAAGTCACACAAATAGCCAGTATCTACAGCAATTATATTTTAGAAGTTTGCTTTTGGTTCCCTTCTTCTCCCAGTCATCTGTTGAAAAGTCTATAAAAGACACACTTGACATTTTTGCAGCTTACATTCTGTGGATATGTATTTTTAATGTTTTAAGATTTTTCTGGTTAAAAATATGTTAAAAGAATTAAAAATTAATAATAAGCCATTTCAACTATGAAATAAGACTGCTTGTGCAAGACCATGAAAATGTCTGCACTGAAGAGATGTTTTATGTCTTTAACTTTTAGTAGTTTTCATTAATTCTCTTGTATCTGCTTTTAATGTCAATTCTGGTTGGATCCCTCCTTAAAAGGCTAAAGTCAGGATTACCATTTAAAAACACTGTGAAGATAGGATAGAGTGTCTATCAAGAAACAAAAATCAATCAAATGGTTTTTCAAGGCTTCCCAGTATTTCATGTAAGCACGAAACCTAAGAGCTACCTAGGAATACTGATTTTAGAAAGTTCAAATGGCAATTATGTTTTCATTATCTCTTCCTCTCCTCTTACTTTTTCCTGCATAACATATTCTCACATAGAGCATTCTTTCAGTTTTGCTTCTTAATATGGAGACAAGTGATTTGGTATTTTTTTTAGTCTTGACCACCTAATTAATTAGTCTGTAAAAATTATTTCTTTATATACTTATTTTAAATATTCCTTGTAGATTAGTGTTTGGAAGTGGTGTTATAAATGAGTGGGTGTTTTTCCTCTTGTGTTTTAAATTATCCAACATTTGAACTGTTTATCACCACTTGATATACTTTAATGAGCTTTGAGGTAGCTATGGGCAGATTTGCACAAAATTGTAAACAAAAAAACCTCTTTTTCTGTATGCTACCACTAGCCATATGTTAAAGGAGCCAGTCATTATGAATGGGTGTATGAACTCTTGAGCTTTGAGGTAGCTATGGGCAGATTTGCACAAAATTGTAAACAAAAAAACCTCTTTTTCTATATGCTACCACTAGCCATATGTTAAAGGAGCCAGTCATTATGAATGGGTGTATGAACTCTCTCTGGGTGAAATACCAGGAGGGTAAATCTTGATAAGAAATGTATGTATACTGTTATTTCAAGTTGTGTCTGTCAATGTTGTTTTTTTGTTTTCTGTCCCTGTTAATATCCTTTGTTGTCTTCACAAAGCAAGTTCAGCACAGAGAAAGCATTTATTCCCCATTGCTGTTAGCATATATGAATTTAAGGAAGAGGGTGGAGACTGGGTAAAAATTCAGAAGTAATCAGGCAAGAACTATTAAGAAAATGCTTGGTAAGCATACACTTATATGAAGAACTATCAGGACTGTTTGTATTGCTTTTTGAGTATTTGTTTTGGGTGGGCAATGTAGTGAAACAAGATTTTCATATATGCCGTTCAGCAAGGAACTCAGTATGTATGTATGTATGTTATGTCACAGTATGCTTCTCATTTGAATGATGGGACTCTATCTGGCTCTTCATTTTCCTAAGGGAAGGCTGAGACCCAGAGAGGCCAAGTGGCTGGACCAGTGAGTTAGCATGGAACTGGAGAAGTCACTTTGTGAATTAGATGTGGCATTGTTCCTCTGAGGATGAACAGTATTGCTTTGTGCATTCTAGGAAACTTCTCCATATTGGTGGGGTCAGTAGATACTCACTAGTTTTTTAAGGATTTAGTTTGGCACTTACTACTTTTGCCCTCATTTTAGGAGCTGTTTAGAATGTTATCGAAAATTGCTGATTAAATAATCACTCCTACTCAGAGTGAAAACTCAGTGCTTCCATGTCACTCTGGCAAAATTAAGGAGAGTTTAGGAATTTCCAATGAAGCCCCAAGGAAGCCTTTTGGCCTGACTGATCAGATTGCATTCCTGTGCCTGACCTTTCAGTGCCTGAGCAGTGCTAAGCATTTTGACATCACTCATAAGTCTGCAGGATCCAGTTCAACCCCAGCACTGAGCAGTTGAGCACAGTAAGAAGTTGGCTTCATTTTTCACTTCCATATCATTCTTTATCAGAGAGTTTCATGATTCTGGGTTGTAAGACATTCTTGTTATAGTTTGTACAATAAATCTTTGCTCTTGAAATGATAGGTACACTCATTGCATTTATAAAAAGATATTCATTTTTACATCAGTGAGTCAAGTTTATTGTTTCCATAATCTCTGAGAAACATTTCTATTCAGCCCAGAAGAGGAGTAGATCCTTTCAAGATAGAAATGTATATTGTCTCCATCAGCTATAACATAGCTACATATAACATTCCAGCTACACACATTTAGTATGCAAAGTTGTTTTGGAGTATTTTGCTAGTGATGTATTTTTGTTTTCCCAAGTTAAACTGAGAAACAAGGGCATCTTGGTCTTTTCTGAGCTTCACAGTCAAGTTGTTACTACACCTTAGGCCATTGCATGACTCTGTCTTAAATCTTAGTGTTTTTTAATATGAAAATAATGAACTTTATCCATAAAATAATCATAAAGTAATTAGCTGCTCTCAGGTCAACGGAAGGATCTTTCACCTGAACATTGAGATTATCAGTCCACTTGCTGTAGACTTGGTACATAAGACTATCAGTGAAGATGTTTGGTAGGGACCACAGGCAAATTTTTTACATTCCTATAGAAAGAGCAGGGATGAAATGTTGAGACCAGTAAATGAATGAATAGCAGTCCCAATTCCTCACGTCTGTGGTTGAGATAACTGAAAATGTTTGAAGCATCCACACGTTCATTTGAAGTAGGCAGGCTCTCCAGTTGTGTTGACTCTTAACGGCTTTTTGTTTGTAAAGAAGGCCAAACTGGGAGAATTGAGCCATCTTCCTTTTAATTAGGTAAGTTCATGGACTTCAGGGCCAAAAGCATTTACTCTTACTGTTAATCCAAACTAAATTTTTTAAGAATCGAGTGCATTTGAAAACAGCTTTGATCTTTTGACCTTTTGTCAAGAAGTTTGCTAAAGCCATAAAAACTGATCATTTCTAAAAAGCTTTTGATCTTGTATTTCTGATGCCAGTTTTTCCTTTGGAAGGATTTCTTCTCATTTCTTACATTTAGGTGAAATTTCACCTCATACTAAAAGTCACAGCTTTCTGAGGCATTGAGCATAATCAAGTTTTGTTCCAAACCCTCTCATGTTGGCACATTAGTCAGTGAGACCTCAGCCTGGAGAGGTGGCTCAGTCATCAGAATTCCCCAATGCAGACAATGTCATATTTACATTAACCGAATGTGACTGACATTTTGTGAGCTTTTCTGTCTTCATTAAACTTGTTCACCTTCTCTGAAACCCCTCATGCTGCACGCTAGCACGGAGCAGCCGTATCCCTCGACCCAGCATGAGTCAGGGGTGCAGCCGCGATACCAGCCGTGAGAGCAGCCGAGATACAAGCCCTGCTCGGGGCTTTCCTCCACTTGGTGAGTACATGGAGGTGCTGACTCAAGGAGCGCAGAGTTCCTTCCCCCGCTCCAAATGCTTGTCCGAGACACTGCTGGGTGGAATGACCTGCTTTCCCTCCTCTACTATCCTCGTGACCCTCTCTTCTTTCTTTCCTCTTCCTTAGTACCCTTTGTTGTCCCCCTCTGCATGCTTGAATTTCGGCAACTTCAAATTTTCATATATTAGAGGAAAAAAGCACCACTTCACTCTGTACTGGTTTCATTTATGACCACTTGCTGTGAGGCAAGCCCATCTGTGTGGAAATTTTGAACATGAGGCAGAACTTAATTGCTGCTTAAAAGTAAAGATAATTCAAAGTTCATCCTTAGTCATTGAATTTCTACAATTTATCTTTTATTTTACTAGAGATCAATCTATATGTGATTAAATTCAAAGAAGGAACAAAAGTATAATAATAACGTTTAGAGTATTAAATGCATTTTCCTTTAGTTTTAATAATCATGCCCTTCCCTAAAATGGACATATAATATGCCTTTTTGTCAAGTACAAATTATCCCCAAAGAGATCTATGAACACATACTTTTATGAAAAGGAATATTTTGTATTCTTCAATAATTACTTTTTCTTTGGCATGTTAAGTGCTGTATAGATGCATATTTTTTCTTGATAAGCATAAAGGGAAGAAATCATTTTATAATAATTAGACCTATACCTGTAAATAACCGAAGGAACTGTGTCCTGCAGCAGCCTGTTATTTTGACTCTGTGAGTATGTAACTGATCTTTTAAATATATAAATGTTACTGCAGAAGAGGGATGTTAAATCAAAAGCATAAGTCCTTCATATTTGCTGCTACCAATCTCCTTCTAATATCTTTTTCCCCCAATCAGTATAAGTAGTCACAATCTAGACATATTTCTTTATGACCATTGTCCTTTATGAGATTCTGAAAAGGAGCAGGTAAGCAGTCGCCAAAGCCCTGCTAGATGATTCCCTTGACTTAGTGAGGAGATACCTGTTGTGAGGTGTTCTATCTGATTAGCATGAGCCCCTGAGTGGGGCAGCTTACCTAGTGCATGTCAGCTATTCCACAGCAATCTGAAGCATTAGAGCCGAATTCTCAGTAAGTCAGTGATGTTTTTTTTCCTGAATGAACTGGTGATTTTTCCTTTTAAATTAAGGCTATATATCTATGCATCTTTGCTCACTATTTGACCTTCCAAACTATGTATTTATATGAGTAACAGTTCAATCTATTTATTGGTTATTTTGTCTCTTAGAAGTAATTCAGTGTTTTTATTTCATACATATACTGGTATTGTTGATATTGTCCATGGAAGCAGCCTTTGTCAGCTGGCATGTGGTCTGTGGACCAGGCAAGGTGGGCTGAATTCTTGAGTAGTTGAGTGATCTCGTCTTTTACTTTCATTGGTTAAATGGATCTGCTTAACTGTCTTTGTGACAACCCAGAATGTTGAAGTGTATGATTGCTACTACTAAGGCAGAGTGTGGATCCTAACAAACTCTGGCATCAGCTTGTGTCTTGTGTTTTGGTCGGGGCAATAATTAATGTCTTCTGAGCTAAATTTTTATACCATGCCCATTTTCCCCCTTGTGTTAGACCTGTCCCTAAAAGTTGTGTTGGCAAGAACAACAACAGTGCTTGTGTGTACGACACCACACCGTTCAGAGCAGTCATCAGACATAATGCCTCGTGGTCCTCGTTCACCCTGTGGGGCAGGTATTATCATCAGAGTCTTAGGAAGTTTAAGCCACTTTCTCAAGGTCACATGGCTAAATGGTGGAGCCAGGCTTTGAATCAGGTTTGACTTCAAGCCTCCCTCATTTGAAAGTAGTTTTGATAATTCTGTGTCTTTCATCTGTTTCTCAAAAATGTATTAAATGCCTTCTGTGAGGCCTCTGTAGGGTTGGGCACATAGAAAGTGCTCAGGAGATGTTTTTCAGTGATTTCCAGGCTTGGGATTAGGACCTGGGAATTCAAAGATACATCCTAGAATGTGGTTGTTCTCAGAGGAGCTGCCACACATTCTCTGGAGGATCCTTTTTAATAGTCATTTTCCACCCCTTTTGGAAAGGAGTGAGATTGTGTTTCAGTGCCCCTTTTAGTCAACTTATATAACCATCCTCCACTTTTTTAAAAAAAGAGAATAAAAGTAATTGTTTTGGTGAATATATGTTTGTTTTTAAGTTTTTTTATTATAAGATTATTTGGGGCTATTTTAAGGGTTTCAGTATGCATTTATATGATTATAGTGATAATCCTTGATTAAGAGAAATTAAGGGCTCTAGGACTCTGCTATAAATCAGGTTTTGACACGTGGGTCCACCTTGGATTCCATCATTGGGTGTTCACTTGTGAACATGATAGAAGACTCAGTATGTGACAGATTTACTGTAGAATATTATGTTGAAATAAAACCAGAGGACCACTTTATAAGGAACCTGCAGACCAAGTATTGCTTTGAAACTGTTTTGTTTCAGTTATCAACATATGATACTTGATGTGCTTGTGCAATAAATGTATAGTCCACTTCAGCCTCAACAAAATATTTTGTCAACTTTTTTATTTAAGGAAAGTGATAACTTTAAAGTATCTGTTTTAGAGATTGCCTATTTTTATTTCTGTGAATCTTGAGAAAGGAGGAAGTTACTTTTACTTTTGCAAGCTGGTAAAAATGTATCCTTATTGACCAGCTAACCTTTGCTATTTAATATATACATATTAATTATTAAGTATTTAATAGCACATTTATCACATATACGCACATTTTATAAAGTGTCGTGAACTTAAAAAAGTAAAGTTAAGTATTTAATAGCACATTTATCACATATACGCACATTTTATAAAGTGTCGTGAACTTAAGTAAAATTGAAGAATTTAAGGTTTTGATATTTTATGACTAAATGTGTATATGTCAATGTGTACAGAATGCTGCTAGTAGTAGTGTGGATGAAAGGTAGCTCTGCTCAGTATTACTTTGTTAAACCTACGAATTTTCTATAGTATAATTGCCGTGATTTTTTCAAAGAAATAAATGGAAGCATATTATCTTTTCTTTTTTCCTAAGGTAAAGAAAAGCCCGTATATTTATTACATGGAACTGTGGTCAGTAAATCAACGTTTTGAACCAAGTCTTAATTTCATAATTATTTCTAAAAGTTACTCTTTCTCCACATGAGGACAGATTTAGCGTTTATTTCCTTAGGTTGATGAATTAATGTACTTATTACAAATAATTGCTAATAAAATAATATTCTAATTTCTAAATGTAAATTGTAGTTAACTCTTAGTCATTACTGCAACCACCACTACCACTACTAACTTCTATTACCATCTTTGTTTACTCTATGTCTGGCACTGTTTCCTGTGCTTTATGTATAATCTCTTTAAATCCTCTAGTAACTCCCAAGAGGTAGGTACTATTATACACTACCACTACTAACTTCTATTACCATCTTTGTTTACTCTATGTCTGGCACTGTTTCCTGTACTTTATGTATAATCTCTTTAAATCCTCTAGTAACTCCCAAGAGGTAGGTACTATTATTAACACCATTTTTACAAATGAAGAAACTGAGACAGTTTAGTACCTTACCCAAGGTCCAACAGCTAGTTGGGATCAAACCATGATTTACAGTTGTATTACTGAGCCGGTTCTCATAACTGGAGTACTGCAGCTGCCTCTCCAAGGAGGGTCATGAACTTATTTCAACTAAATCTCCAGCATTTAAACAAGTACATGAATAATTAGGATATGGTGCAACAGAGCAACAAACATTTTGACTGGGGAAAATGGAATTCCAGTTGTGGATCGCCCTTCCTGTGATTTCATTCTGTTTCTGTTGAAATAACATTATGAACTTCTGTGCTTTTGTTTTGGTGCATGGTTGCATATGCATCACATACTGATGAAACATCTTGTGAGCTGAGTTAATAATCCATCTTACTGCTGCTCGTTCCACTCTGGGATTTTGATGGTGCTCTGTGACTCCCAATGTTCTTCATGTTGCATATTTCCATATGGCTGATAGAGGCTTCATGGTGTGAATATAAACCTGGAGTCTGAGTTGGTTGATGCATACCTAGTTTGGAGCACCTTAAAGAGTGCCTTTGTTATGCTCATGTGTTTAATAGCTGTGTGAGAGCCAGCTAGCTACCCTAGAGTTTGGGGATTGGCACCTGCTATCCATTCATATCCAGCACCATTTCTTTTCATGAGAAAACGTGGCCTTGTTGGTAGCAGTCCCTGCATTTCCTTTGGACTGTGGCATTTTCTGTCTCGGGTACTTCTGTGTTAATCCTGTGGGTGTTACCGTTCCTTTTACCTGCAGCCTCTCGACGTCATTCCAGGTCCACTAGTGCTCTCTCCACTGCTGAATCTGTTGGGCAGTCAGGTGAACAAGTGCTAACTGCATGACTTGGCTTCTTCATATGTTCCAGTTTCACACCCATGTTAACATTTGTTTTCATCCGTGTTGGCTAGTACTTGGCATGTATGCACCTCATTTTTTTTTCCCCAATGTGCTTTAATTTTTTTAAGTTGTCGAATGTTTATAGTTCTGTTTATAGGCCATAGATGCTTTATAGACTGTTCGACAGCATTATTTCTCCAGTGTTCATATTTATGTTAAAACAAAACAAAAAAAAAATGGGAGAGCACTTCTTCCCCTCCTATCACCCCCTCCCCAGGAAAAAAAATAACTAAAACTAGGTATCATAGAGGGTCCCTGTGGGAAAATGGGGTGTAGGTATCATCCAACAGTCTTTCATCTGCAGAGTCTTCACTCCCAATAAAATGTCAAATATTAATATTATTAGTATCTGATTCTACTTAAGATACTATTTAGTTACCAGTGTTCCAAATTATACATAATTTCATATGTATGAAAATAAATGTATTGTCCTAAAAGTTTTATGGAAGAACAAGATCAGAATTCAGGTAATCAAGTTGGGTCAAAAGGTAGCTTTTGGAGTCTGCAGACCCCCAAACCTTCTGTCTCAACTCTGTTTAACGATACCAAAAATCCACTGGTTAGCCATGGAGGCAAAAAGTCAGCATACAATAATGCATCAGTTTGCCAGATTTAACTGGTATCATTCTTATATGCTAACAGTCTCTAATGACTAAATTTTCTCTGTTGAGTAAGGCTTAATTATGAATTCACAGACTTGATGGTGACAACTGTTACCAATTCACTGAGTCAGTTATTTTCACTTTTCTTTCTGTAAATGAAGCCAGCTATGCATTTTAGCTATGTATACTCTGATTAAGTACATTCCCCTGAAGATTGTGGACCAGACTGAAGGCACGGTCGTATGTATCCATCTCTTGGAAAACTGAGCATCCTAATAGGGCAGTGAGAATGTGGAACAGACATTGGTCTGGTGAAAACAAAAAGCCTATAATTTTGCTTATATCCCAGACAAATGATTCCCCTTAAGATCTGAAATTCAAATTTTCTATGATGTTTATTGAATAATCTGCAGTCATCGTGTATGGCAAAGCTGGGAATCACAGAATAATTGCATTGTTTTTTATAGTTTTAATTTTGTATCTGAAAAATCAGTATTATCCCTGGAACAAGAATTGCTGGCATGATATCCTTTTTTTTTTTTAGACTTCGTTTTAAGTTTATGCTGGGTAATTTTTAAATGGCTTATAACTGAATTACTTTCATTCTGTTACTCATAAATCCCCTACTATCTACCCTTTTTTAATGGAAAAAAAAAAAAACTCGAACAAATATCATCTATAAAACTATATCCACTGTAACTCTCGAATTTACACTTGTTTCCTATTTCAGCTGATAAGTATTTGTAGATAGGTATATAGATTTAATTATTTTTGTGGTCTTTTAGTTTATGTGGCACATTAAATCAGCTTTTCAACATAATGGCTAAGATGACATTTGGAATAATCAGCAAATGCATTAAAAAAGGGGATAGTATAACATACAGTTTTCGTTTCTTTATAAAAATTCATGACTGTATAATTCTTTTAACTAATGGTGTTCAAATTTTTTTCCCTTTCTATGGTGGTGAAATGTGTAATGTTTTGAAATTGACATTTTTAAAATCTAAATAACACTTCATTTCAAATTTCACCAGTTTTGTTGGTGGTCTTATTACATATCTAAACTTTTAAATATATCATTTTACATGAAAGGTCAATTCATGTAAAATAGATATGAGCATCCCTTTTATTCTAAATGCTTCATTAATAGAATATTGATAATATAGAGATTTTCCTTGTCTAAACAGTGTCTTATTTGTTAACACGGAGAAGACATTTATCTTAACAGTTTATTAATGTTTTAATCTCCAGCACTTCTTAAGGAAGGCTGGTCAACTGACTTAATAGGACTTTAAAAAGTGAGTCTTCATTTTCCATGATCATTAAGAAGCTTAGAATAGTTGTTTGAATTGCTAAAACTTATTTTAAATTCTTTCGATTTTTTCTATTTGTTTACCTGTATAAAGACTGACATTCAAATATTCTTTGAGAGGCTGAGGTAAAATTTATACTAATGTTATCTAAATGATTATGTTCTGCAGTGAAGGTACTAGGTTTTTGTGGTGATTATTAAAGAATTTTAACAAATTGATTTTTAAAATAATCTTTGACACACAGGCATCATGATTAACAAGTATCTAAAAATAATTTAGCTTAATTAATTATAGTTGAACAATAGTGACACTAATGAAAATTTGCACAGAGATCAACTTAATACATTTGTTTCAAATTTTAATTTTTTTACTACACATTGCATTAGAACTCATTTGTCAAACTGTGAAGGTTTCTGATTAGTTCGACCAAACATTGAGGCCACTTGCCTCTAGAGGGAAAGCTAAATAGATGAAAAGACTCAACTCATAGCCCAGCTCCCTTCTATATTAAGCCCCCCACCACAATGTCTCAGAACTTTTCAGTCATAAAATATCATTTTCGAACAATTTCAATTGACAGATTGCTTTGTGGCACAATACTTATTAAATGTGAACAACTTAACATCTACCACTGGTAAACAAGTCAAGTACAATTAAAATTGGGTAGAGATTTTTCAGTGCCTCTGTCCACTTAGTGGGAAGAGGCAGGAGCCCTTGCAGAGAACTGAGAGAATTTGAATTAGAGTGACATGTCTTTTGCTTTTGTTTTTTAAATAGACCGATTTGGGCTCAGCCAGCCAGGAAGAATTCCTGGTTCTGTGAATGCCATGCGCGTTTTGAGCACAAGTACAGATCTTGAAGCCGCTGTTGCTGATGCTTTGGTAAGAAGCACAATATGTACACAGAGTCTGTTTATATTACTCATCCACATTTTTCTTTGTCCTAACAGGAAATTGTACCCAAATCAAGTTACTAAGTCATCTTTGACATTCTTTAAAATTGTGTAAATATTGGATTAATTTATATTATTATTGTGTTTTCTTCTTAAACTTTTACCTCTGCACACACATAAGTGAAAATTGACCTTACAGAAAATATTAGCATCAAGTATTTATCTGTGCTCCTCAGTGTCAAGGTTTTAAAGACATTGGGCTTCTCAGATGTCATTGGGCTTCTTGGTTTTTTTTCTTTTTAACTGTGTTTTTCTTTTAGTATTTTCTTTTTTCTGTTCTGTTGCTTCTATTGCTTTATAGATTTAGATGGCATACCCTAAGCATATTATTATGATATTAGGTAATAGAGTTTGAGGTCTGAAAATCTTGCATTTATTTCATTACCTCACTCCTGGGTCCAGATGATTTTATGTTGTTGTTTTTTTTAATGGGTCCTTAAGTCATTATTTAAGAAAACTTGTCTAAATTTTAAGATTAACTCTTTGAAGATGTAAAGCATTGGTGCAATATGTTTTTGCATCATTATAATATAATATCTAAAAAGCATAAAATGACCAGAGTTCCTTTAATTTGTGGTTATAGCAAAAAGTTTCTTGGTAGAATTGACTTGTGGTCAGATTGTTTTTCAAAGATGCATTTCAGCTAGTGGTAACAGCCTCTTGCATATTCCGGTTTATGTGCTCAGCATTCAAAATAGATATTCTTTAAAACTGTCTGATCTTTGGCCTTGCTTTTGCTGTTTTAAGATTTATTCTCTTGTAAGGGAAAAAGAATATAAAATCCTGCTTTCAGACCCTGTTTTTAATCCAGCCATGTTGCATCTGATGAACATTTTATAATCTGTGGCTGCAGTGATTCCAGCTTTTTTTTTTTCTTGTCTCTCCCTCATTTATTCTTGCTCAGTCAGATCTCTTTGACAAATGTCTGAGCAAGCAGTTTGCTGCTCTCATAATGCTTTCTCTATAGGCAGACTGCCTGGCCAGCTCTATTTATCAGCCTTATATGATATGTAGAAGGACTTTTTTCTGGCAGGTACTGGAGTTCAGGGTGATAGCTGCAATCATGGCTTTAATTTAAGAGTCAAGTGCTGCAACAGAATTCTGTGAAACTGTTTCTCCTTCCAAGTTGCAGCATTTAGCAATCTGTCTCTTATTTATTCAGACACTAGAAAGTGGAGGTCAAAGGAGTGGGAAGTGTTGGACGTGTGAAACCCTTGGTTAAATGGGACTTCCAGTTAAGGTGGGTGGGGCTTGGGGGCTGGGGGATTTCTTAGTTTTTTAAAGAACCCAAAAGGGACTGTGTGCAAAGTTCTGGGAGGCAGACTAGGACTTGCAAGTTTGAGCTTTGACTGAACTTGACTTGAGCTTTTCTTTGAGCTCTAGCCCCCATGCTACCGTTATGCTCATGCTACCCTTGTAACTTTTTGTCCAAACTGATGTCTCACAGTGACCTGCTTCAGAAGGGAAAGCGCAGGAATGGTATGGAATCCTTGTCTCACAGAAATAAGCCCCAGGGAAGATTGAATGTCTCGTAGGAATAGATAGTAGAATTAACAGGGACCTTAGAAACTGTGCCTTGCTGGTTTGGGAAGAGTTTTAGCGTGCTTCAGAAGGGAAAGCGCAGGAATGGTATGGAATCCTTGTCTCACAGAAATAAGCCCCAGTGAAGATTGAATGTCTCGTAGGAATAGATAGTAGAATTAACAGGGACCTTAGAAACTGTGCCTTGCTGGTTTGGGAAGAGTTTTAGCGAAGAATTATTGCACGTTCCAGAAAGTGTTATGAAAAGAGTAGGAGGGTTAGGAAATGCCATTTTGAAAGCATTCTTTTTTATTACTCGCTTTATATGAAATGCTTGCTAACCTGTATTTTTGGTTTGCTAAGGTATGTTTTGCTGTACACTTTTGTTGCAAGAACAATCCCCACATATGCTTCTGACATAATTCTCTATGCTTTTTCCCCATCCTTCAATATTTTCCTGCCTACAGCTGTTAGGAGACTCCAGGAGCAAGGTACCAATGCTTTAACTTTTGTTTTACAACTTTATTCTTTCTGTTGCAAGTATATTTCTTTTAGAAGCTAGTGAAAGCAACAAAAAATTTAGTATAGTATAGAAATTCTGGTCTGAATTATGATTTTGTTGAATATAGTGATGCCTTTGTCAGTGGTGGAATCAGTCGCCTTTCACATACATTTGTTTTAGTATTTATTTTGACTGTCAGGTTCTGCTTCTATTAGTGTTTCATTTTGTTAACTCCATTTATGTCTATTCTTATGTCATTATTTCATGAATGAAGGTATTCAACATTTTTCGTATTTTAGGAATCTAGTTTTATGTATAAGTAGAATGATCATATCATCACCCAAACAAAATTACTTTTGAGAATGAAAGGGGTTGCTAGTAATAATTATCCTTGGACTGTAGACATAAGTTGCTGTACTGAGCAAGTTGGAATTAATAATTAGCCACATTAGTACAGAATTTCATTAGTGTGGTTTAAGCCAATAACTATTTGTTTTGCTTTTAGAAAAATTGTATTTTATAAATTTTATCAATTTTATACAGCTGTTACTATATCATTTATGGGTTTAACTTACAGTTTTGTATTCATGGTAAGAGAAGTGAATGAAGCAGGTATTATAGTGTGTGTTAAAAGAAGCCTGTTTGTGTTGCAAAACTTTAAGACCTTAATAAAAGTGGCTCAGATAATTTAAGGATACTTTTACATAGGATACTTCTGCTGACATTTTAATTTCAGACTTTCTTAAAGAAGCATGAATATTCAAACAAGTTTGCCCATAGACCGTGCTCCAGATATATTGCTTTTGACTGAGGAGGGGCTGGTGGGCACACATACCTGCAGTGTGTCAGGTGCTGAGCTGGGTTATTTAACATATAATTACATTTACTCCTCACAAGCCTGTGTGATAAGTATAATTATTATCGTCTTAAAGATGGGGAAACTGAAGCAAAAAGATGAAGAGGCTTTCTGAAGTCACACAGCCAGTCTGTAGTGGTGTCAGGGTCATAACCCAAGTCTATCTTACTGTCAAGTTCACAAACTCTATAGAAGCCGTGCTCTTTCCCATCTGCAAAGGAGTGCTGTGCTTATTATTTATTTTACCTACCAGAAGACTACTTTGTTGTTTTTATTTCCCTAATCTACAAGCACAAGAAAAGTGTGTGTGTGTGTCTTTTTACACTCAACTCTTTGTTGCTGATTTTGCTTGGTATGACTCATGGTCCTTTCACCTTTCCATTGCTTCCTCAACCCCCCACCCCTCATTGGATCTGTCAGAAGAAGCCTGTGAGGAGGAGATATGAGCCGTATGGGATGTATTCTGACGATGATGCCAACAGCGATGCCTCGAGCGTTTGCTCTGAGCGCTCATATGGCTCCAGGAATGGTGGCATTCCCCATTACCTGAGGCAGACCGAGGACGTAGCAGAAGTTCTCAACCACTGTGCGAGCTCAAACTGGTCAGAGAGGAAAGAAGGGCTTCTGGGCCTGCAGAACTTACTGAAGAGCCAAAGAACACTGAGGTAAAGACAAGAGACCAAGGTTGTGAGCTAGGTTTGAGTCCCATATTATACTCCTCAGGGGCCTGAAGGGATTCCCTGTCATTTATGGAATCCTTATGGAGCTCTGGTTGCCGGGGCAGGCACTAAAAGTACTAAGATGACTGAGACACAGTCCTTGCCATTCGGGGGCTTTGAAATATCTGGCAAATATTCTGTAATTTATTAGGTTTATAAAACATTTATTTCCCTTATGATTCACATTTGTTCAATAGATACTGTTATTTGAGAAATCTTGGTACAGTTTGCAATTCAGGTAAAAAATAAAACAGCTCTGCAAGTTAGTGTGGTTCATTGCACTTTAGCATACTGGATAAAATGGTACTAGTCTCAGTCTAAAACGTTTTAACACACATATTCATGTACATAGCTTATAAATGTGCATAGTAAAGAGATGATAAAATGGAGCACTCTAAAATAGTAACAGCATTATTTCTAGAATTATTTTTGCCTTTTTCTTTGTTTCTGAATTTTATGAATTTTCTAAAATAAGCATGTATATTACACATGCCAAAAAAGTATGTGTTTATACCATATTTTAATAAATCTAGCACATCACTGACATACCATTATTTTATATTCCTCTAATAGGAAATACTCATTATTTAACCATCATTGTACTAATGTATCATTGTTTATAAGATAAATCTTAGTTACAGAGATATTAAAACATAGAAAAAGAGATGTGAATGGAAAATGAGAAATGGGCAACTTAAAATCCATATATTATATCCATTGGATAATTATTTCAAGATAAGTTGTGGGACTGGATAAGTTTATGGTCTTAGGTGGAGGTCCCTCTTGCATTCTGTAAAGCTAAACTAGCATTGACTGATGAGTTACTAAGCTGTAAGTGTGGCTATTCAATCTAACTTCACCCTACTGTATTCATAGCTGCCCCACATTACTTTATTCTGTTCATGAAGATGATATGAGAGGTTTTGACTTACACTTTCTGAAATGCAGGCGTCCTGTGACTCTCTAGTGATCTGTCAAAAGCAAAATGAGGATGATTTGTCATTATTGTTCTTCAGGAATCTGTTAATCCTGATGGTCCCACTTTCTGAATTCTTTGTGTTCACCAAGTAGCCATTGAACAGTCTCTAGAAATCTGTTGATCAGCATTGGTCTAATCTAATCATTGTTAACAATATTGAAGAATCATTGAACCATCTGTCTCATCTGCATAAGGGAGGATTACTCAGGGATGATTTGGGGAAGAGAGGACCCTACTATCAAGCCTTAGAGTAAAAATGGGGTGCAATAGTACATCAAGGATCAGAAAAGGCAAAGGGCACCAATGTGAAATGAGTGTTTACTTTGTCCCAGGGACAGTAGTAGGTACAATGTGTTCATCTTTAGTCCTCTCAGCAGCCATGTGTGATGTGTAGTGCATATCCTATTTGACAGATAAAGAAACAGAGGCTTAAGGATATTAGTACTTTGTTTATAGCAGAATTGAAATTAAAATCTAGGTCTGTCTGATCCCCAAATCCATGCTTTTTCTGGTTTCTTCTATTGCCTTTCAACTGTGGCAAGTGGAAAACAGAACTGGGATGAAATGAAAGGGATTTGGCTCATGGCTTTGTCACTTCCAGATGTATGAGCTTGGGTAAATCACTCTCTGAGTCTCAGTTTCCTCATCTTAAAATGAGAGCAAATCTTTGGTTTTATATTCTTGTTTAATTTTATCATGAATTAAATAAGATCATTTCTTTGTGAAAAAAAGGCTTTGTTATATAAATATAAATCATGTAAAGTTTATGTAGTAAACTGAAACAAAACGATTTTTAAAAGCAAAGCTATAACTAATAGCAGTGATGACTTGTTAAATTTTAAATACATTTATTTTCATTTTATTTCCTCTAGTCGAGTAGAATTGAAAAGATTGTGTGAGATCTTCACCCGGATGTTTGCTGACCCTCATAGCAAGGTAAGTCCGGGAATCATGTTTTACTTATATTCCTACCTGCATGTCTATGTGAGCTGTTTAATATGCTACCCAAGAATGAGAGAGAATTCCCCATAGTGCAGTTTTGAGTTTACAAACAAAACACCAGTTTCAGCAATAGTATAATGTTACAGCTTTTAAAAATGGAATTTTTGGAAACGTAAGTGTCCATAAAGTGTCATGTTAAATAAATGTGCTTCAAGTATGAGTTAATCCTGGAGAGAATCAGGTGTAGTCTTTCATTCATTCAGCAAATGCCTCCTGTTAGCCAGACAGTGGGCTAGGTGCTGGAATGTAAGGTTGTATTATAATATATTCCATTTTTTTAAGTTTAGTGAAGACAATAAGTATATATTTATTTTTTGTATCCCATGTAGAATTTGTCCTCATAGGACAAGATTTTTTTAAAAAGGAAGTATAGGGGGCTGACTAGTTAGCTCAGTTGGTTAGAGCACTGCCTTGTAACATCAAGTTCAAGGGTTCAGATCTCCATACCAGCCAGGCCCCTTCTCGCCTCCCCCAAAAAAAGAAAGAAAGAAAAATGGTAGTATTTTTTTAATGGATTTGTTTAAAAACCAGGTTAAGTCATTTCTCCAAATACAATTTTGCTCTTCCTGAGAGCTTGCTGGATGGTGGTCACATAGCTGGTGCCCACACCTCCTGGGGGCTAAAGAAAACACTGAGCCTAAGGACTGCCTTTTTAACAAGAGAGTCCCTGCTAAGGGGGAAACACCCATCAGTATGGGACAACATCATTTCTAGGGGTGGTACTAAGAGAGGAACCCTTTACAAAAGTTTACTTGGGGTCTAGATTTCAAATAAATACCATGGTTTGGCAGGAAGCCTTAAGAGGCTGTTAGATGCTTTTAGAGGAGGGAAATGTAGGGATAAAGACACAGGGAAAGTTAAAAGGGAGGATGAAGGACAGAAACTAAAGTGTAGAACTGATAGAACCTTAAATCAATAGAAACAGATCTTAAGTGCTGATATGCAGGATTAACTGTACTATCCTATAGTTTTCTTAGTAAAGATGGTCTCTTCCAAGTCTTACCAGGAGAAAGAAGCCTGTGATGGCCAGAGAGTCCAGCCAGTTATCATCATCTTCCTTGTTTTCCTGTCCTTGCTTCTTTATAGGAACTGTTCTTGAAGTAACATCCACCCACCCTTCCATGCATCCAATCATTCAACATTTACTGAGCACCTTCTCTGGGCTAGAGATACAGAAAACAGAATATGGCCCCTGCCTTCTGAGATGCTCATGAGAGTGCAGGGGACGAACGCACGGGTCCTCCTGCTCGCCCCCGCAGCAGTTCTCCTCACTCAACATCAGTCTTGAAGCATGTCTTAAAATTCCTGCTGTGGCCCTCACAGCAGGGTTAACATTAACGATATTTTTTAAAAGTCCAAGAAAGGCTGGATTTAAAGGCCATATAGATATTCAAAAATATAATTATCAAGATTTTTCTCTAAGGTGAATGTAGTGTTAAAAGTAGTAAGATTTAAAACATAAGCATAGTAAGAGTCATAAGATTTATAACGTAGGAGTGCTAGATCATTTGGAACATTGATGACATTTCTGTTACCTGTCACCTCTAGATTGCTGATTCAGAAGCAGAATGTGAGGATAAAGAAGGAAATTTGTTTCCATCAGAAGGCTCTTGTACAGTGAGTTTGGAGGTCTCAGTTTAGTTGATATTTTCTAGCTGCCTGTGAGCTCAGCCAGGAATCCTGCAGCTCGATGGCTCATTGATTTTTTCCTGAGCTATCTCACAGGAGACCCCTGGTGGTGAATACTTGCTATGCTAGAACTGATCTGATTGGTGGGTTGTCCCAGTAGAGTCTCATTAACGAGGTAGGGAACCACAGTGCTACTTATCTCTCTGAAATCAGTTTAGAGATATTCCACTGTGGACTGTATTTCACCTTAGATAACTGTATTGATTCTACAGCAACATGAAAATTATGTGAACTGTCAGTATCTTTTATTCTAAGCCAATATCTTGTATTATTTTATAATATCTGAAATTGACATACATCAAATAGCTGACTAAGATGAAAAGCAGTAGCTACACAACAGTGAGTAGGTTGGGGTTGTTTTTGTTTTTGGTTTTGGTTTTGGTTTCTTGCATTCTGTAATAATATTTGTCGAATGCTAGATAATGAGCAAAAACAGTGTAGAGTTAGAACAATTCAAAGCTTTTTTTTGTTTTAAGGAAATAAAAGCCTCCATGATTAAACTCAGAAAAGTTCATTTCTCTCTGTACTGACTTTTAAAGGCTTATGTTGAAGGAGGAGAAAGTATTTTATCAGTGTGTAGCTTTTTCAGGTTTTCTTAAGAAACTGCATGAAAATGGTATTAATTCACTGTGGACTAACATGGAATTTGTTTTGTTGCATGGCCTGGTTTGCGGTGGAATTCACAACAGAGAGTAAGTTCCAATCCTTTTTCCTTAATCTTTTCTCTGCAATATGTTTTCCTTCTGGAATATGAACCATTGTTAACACTGTTAACATAAGTTATAAGAGCATGGGCAAAGCAAATTTGGGCATTTTTAATGTTTAGTAGACTTTGGAGGAAATTGTGAATTATATGTGGGAAATGTTTGGTTTTCATTTGTGTCTAGGTTTTCAGTATGTTTTTGGAGACTCTTGTGGATTTTATAATAATACATAAGGATGACTTGCAAGACTGGCTTTTTGTTCTTCTCACACAATTACTTAAGAAAATGGGAGCAGATTTACTTGGATCTGTGCAAGCAAAAGTTCAGAAGGCTCTAGATGTCACAAGGTAAGTGTTTAGGGTCTAGACTACTCTGATGTTACAAGATTCTTGTAGGCGATTAGGTGATTTCTTGCCTTTCTTTTCTGTCACCTATGGTCTTTGTCACCCACTCAAATGTGTGCTTTCTTACTCAGTTCTCACATTCTCTTGTTGACATGTCCCACCAATGCATAGATGAAATACTTGTTTCTTCCTTGAGTTGGCACTATTTTTGTGAATACCTAAGACAAGTGTAGAAACAGATGTAAAATGTTGAAAATTGATTCTCTTCTCTTTAAAATACACTTAAAGAAAACATTTAGAATATTTGTTTACATCTTTCTGAAGACTTTAGTATTTTTATGTTAAACTAGACATTTTTCTATCAGTGTATGCTGCAGAGTTCTCATTGGTCCAGGAATAGTCTCTAACTTGACAGTTCATTGGCTCAGAGGTTGAGAACACGTTTACAGCAGTTGTAACCATTCTGGCTGTTATGAAAAAAGCAAAGCCGCTCAGGCTCAGAAAACAACTGTTAGTGTTGGTGTTCAGAAGCCTCTTCTCTATTGTCTGTGCAATTGTAAATCCTCAACATACAAGTATTAGAATTAAATGATCTCAGAAGACATTTTGCGATAATATCTTGGTTGTGATTTGATGGAAGATGGAGGGAAATGTGTCAGATCAGTGAATATTTTAAAAGAACAAATGTGACTCCAGGTTACTCAGAAAATTATCATCAGGGCAATAACTTTTGTAAGACTCAATTACTACAAGTGGGAATAGTACTAGGTATCATGGAATTTTCAAAACGGAATGCCCCTAAAGATGGTGCTTATTTTATCATTGAGAAACGGAGACATTGCCTTGAATTGCCCAGGATCATATTTTGTGTTAGTGGCAGTCTGATAACTAAAATCCAGGATATCTGATGGTTGCTCCATTGTCTGTTCCTATTATTGCAAGCTGTCCTGTAGGCATGGGGCCTCCCCTTCTGGGGAGGAAGCAGATACTGACTTTCTTTCACCAAGAGTCTCTCAGGATTACTTGACTGGGTCAGAGATTTTGGATGATTACAAGAAATGGGATCAGTAACAGGCAAGAAATGGAGCAAGACAAGGAAGGGGCTCATAGAGCTCCAAGGATTCTGTGTATGATTTTAGCTAGATGGGGAATTTTTTGTCACTCTGTGTCTAAAAGGCATTCTTCTGTGGTGACTATACAAGATAGAGATCATAAGCAGCTACCAGGACCAAGGAGAACAGTACTGTTAGCTTAAGCAGGGTCAGCTGTAAGCAACCTTAGTTCAGGATGTAAAAATAAGATTTGGGAATAAGAAGTGTTTTTTGTATAAGCAATATTCAGAAAGGTAGCTGGAGAGAAATTGAGCAGATCCCTAGAAGGGCAGGTTGGAATCTCTTCCTTAGTTTATTGCTTAGTCTTAATTTTTGAAATAGTCTTTCAAAGTAAGTTTAGTATGCGTTTTGGGACTTTAGACAAGATTATCCTGTTTCTAAAATTTTAGTATACACACATATTACTTAAGCATTTATATAAAATGAAAAGTACTGTTTTAAAAAATGTGAACAGGCTTTTAAACATATATTAGAATAACCTACAGTGCTTTCATATATATTAGAGTAATCTGCAACAACCACTTTTTTTTTTTAACCTAGGGACTCTTTTCCTTTTGATCAACAATTTAACATTTTGATGAGATTTATTGTGGATCAAACTCAAACTCCAAACCTCAAGGTCAGTATTTGTCATTACAGTTCAACTTCAGGAACTTAAATTGCGTAAAATTTACTTTTTTAACTACGTGACTCAGCTCATGTTTAGTCATTGTGAATAAATCTGCGGTAAGCATTCTTGTTCACCTCTTTGTGGACATGTTCCCGTTTCTCTTGGTTCAGTACCTAGTAGAGGAATTGCTGGTCCATTGGGTTGGTATGTGTTTAACTGCCAAAATGGTCGTACCGTATTCTCACCAGCAACATTTGGACATTATTAGTCTTTTTCACAGTTAATATTTAAACTAGAAAATTAAGACATTCTGATGTGTTGAAATAGGTATCTTTTTGAAATGTTTCTTTAGTATTAACATTCTAAGACATGAAAATTAATTGTTACATGTTTTGGAAAGTCATACCTATAATAATAAGACTAAATTTGAAAGAGGATGTGTGTTAATTTGAATTAGGTCATGTTCATCATCTGTTCTTTGATCATTAACTTTTGTTGAGGTTTTAGGATAGGCCTAATAAGTAGTAACCCTTTACTCTTGAGCCAAAACCAATTGAGAAGGTGATGGAGAAGTTAGGGCAGAACATCAACTTAGTTACCGAAAATGCTGCCTCATAGGATATGACCTGGAATGTGTAACAAAACTGACTACAGAGTTGAATTTGCCACCCCAGTCAGTGGCAGAACTGGAAGTCCCACTGTCTCCCCACATGGGCTCCTGCCCTGTAAATGTCTCAGAACACAGACGAGGAGCAGAGCACACCTTCTGTGTGGGCACGGCAGTCTAAAAGTGAAGAGAATTGAGCTGCATGCCACTTCTTCTTTCTAAACTTACCCATCAGTCAGTCCTTTCATGCTTTTTCGCCTAATGGATGTCACTCCATGTAGAAGCATAAATCCAGGAGAAAGGAAGGAGATTCCTTCTCAACAGCCGTTACTTTTCTCTGATCACCAATTAAGAATTCTGTTCAAAGATTCATCAGGTGTACTTAATGTTTATAATTATTGGATCTTTCAGGTCAAAGTTGCAATCCTGAAATACATTGAGTCCTTGGCGAGACAGATGGATCCAACAGATTTTGTAAACTCTAGTGAGACAAGACTTGCTGTTTCTAGAATCATAACCTGGACAACAGAACCAAAGAGTTCAGATGTGAGAAAGGTATGTTCAAGAGAGCTGAAGTATAATTACAAACTATTCTAGGCGTGTGTTAGAAAATGAAATTTATTTAAAAGCTTGCAGACCCCCCTGCCCACCCACAAATCTTTGCCCCTCTTTTTTGTGAAAACCAAGGCTCTCCTGTTGCCCCTTATATTCTCTGTCCAGCTCTGTCTAGTTCCAGTCTTTGAATATCAAAATGAAAATCTGAAATCTTGCATGATGGGTTCGTAGTTTTCTCAGGCATCTATTTTATACGTTTTATAATATGAAAGCACTAGAAGTTGAATATCTTTTACAAGGGTGTTTGTTGTTCTTATCTTAGTTTATAACATATACTTTGAAGACAGAATTGCCTATCTAAAGCTAGCTGGCTATAGGGTGCCTGATAGTAAAATGTGGTTGAAAAGTTTGTTAAGATAAATGGATTCTTGACTTTAAAAACAGCAAAAAAACTTCTGATCATATGCCACACTTGGGACACATTCTGTTTGGCTTGGGGAGTGGGGTGGTGTAGAGGTAGAATTCAGATTTTTGAGAAACGCTGATACTAAAGTGTTGTGGTGGTGATGTTTTATTAGCTAAAGAAAAATAATTGCTACTTTCTTCTGAAATGGCACATTGAGAAGTATGTAATATAGTAAAGAGCACAGGCTACTATTATCTGCTTCACGGAACTGTTATGAGGATTAATTAACATAAAGCATTTAATCAGTTGCTGACACTATGGGCATACAACACCTGTAAGTTGTTATTGTGTTTGCTATTGCTGTTATTCTCATTCCCTTCCTGTCAGTGTTATATTCCACACTTGGATTACATATGGGGCCATTGTTAACTTTTACTTTATATGAAAGCTTTGCCTTTGGTACTTTTTAAAGCCAGATTACTCAGTTCTGCTTTCAGACTGAATGTACTTGATTTTGGTTATTTGTGTATAATCATGAACCTTACATATTTTTCTTCTGTACTATACTCCTTTCCACAGCCATCCCTGCCAATATAGCACTTTGGCCTTGAGGCAGGGTTGAAAATGTGGACGACCTGGGTCCAGGCAGGGAAAAAGGAAGGATGTTCCCAATCAATAGTTAGCAAGATTGGTGAATTTCCAAGTGTAAATGGGCACTTAGCTCCCTCTCTAATGGAGTTCGAAGAGGAGAACTGAAAAGTTGTCTAAAAGGTTTATTTGGAAGGGTCACAATCCATTTAATTCTTGCATCCATTGTATAGTAATAAACTAAATTGTCCAATGTCAGGAACAAGGAAAATATTTTTAAGGCACTCATTAAAATTATTATTCTAATATAAATTACTATTTGGTTTTTGATCCTTTTGAAATATTTTTGGTAAAAAAAAAAAAACAAAAAAACACACATTTATCAAGAGACCATTTCATTGGCAACCTTTAACCAATAAGCCAGTTTGGGATATGGGACGTGGTTGGATGATTTGGTTTGGTTTAAAAGTCAGAAACATATGCTTCTGTTGTAATTCTCAGAATCACACGATCAACCAGTAAATACAAAAGCCTTAAATGAAATTTAAGTTTTTAGTTATAAGACATAAGGATGTGTGTGCCTGTGTGAGTGTAGGGAAAATATAGGAAAATGGTCAGGGCCCCTCAGATGTTTAGAATCTTGCTAAGCACTTGATGTTAACATGCACATGCACCCAGGTGTTCCTTGGTTATTGTCTGATGTAGTTGTGCATGTGTACACTGGTGTCCTGGGTTGTGGGCTTAAGTACAAAGGACGAGTGGCTCTGATCCACAGCCTCCCCCATTCCCAGAATGCCCCCCAGGGGACCATGGGGAGGCCGCTATTGCTGCTGGAAGTTGTTGCTGCACGCTGTTGCTGCCAGTGCCCCCAGGATGCCCCAAGAAGCCACCACTGCTGCTGCTACTGCTGAGGACTGAGTTCATGTCATCTGCCAGTGGCTCCCAGAATCTTTCCCAATTACCTAACATGGACCTGCATGTGAAGAGTCTGTGACCCAGCCTGGCATGTGAGGGGTCTGGTGATCCAGTCTGTACAATGGGTTTGAAGGGTCTGAGCCCTAGCCCGACAATACAAATGGAAACTTAGCGTAACTAAAATAATGAAACGTTTTGGCTTTAGTTATGAATTGCCTAACACTACAATTGGCGTAGTCACGTAGCTTTACAGTGAGTATGTACTTTTCCAAGGGGATGTTACTTAAGTATTCCCTACCATGGGCTGAAATGTGTTTTGGATTTGCATACTACCTTGATTAGGGCCTGATTGGGAGCAACTGACTTTGATCATAATGTCTACTTTCTGTAGACAAACACATCAGAAAATTTGTACTAAGACTTAATTGTCCTTTTCTAATCAGGATATTGCTGGAACTTCCTTCCTTGAATTATCTAGCATGGGGATCCAAAAACCTCAGTTTATATTAATGCTAGCTCAAACTAAATATGATTAGGAAATTAGATTTATTGCCAGAAATCACGTGGTTCATTTACTGTTTGAATGATCTTCAACACTTATTTACAGTTATTTTGGACAGTTGTTATTTCACAAAGCTTGTCTCCTCTGGCACGCTACTTCCAATGCCCCTACTGCCCCTCTTTCCTCCTCTTCCCCATTGTGAGAGCTCCTTAACTGCTCACCTTCAGGCCTAGCTTAAAACCAGGTTCTGGTACAATAATCCTGACCTTTAGAGGAATTTGAGAAGCTTTAGATCAGTAGTTCTCAGTCTTGTCTGCAGTAAAAATCAACCTAGATCCCTAGGCACTACTCCCAGGTAATTTGATATAATTGGTATAGGATAGAGCCTTGACATTGTGTTGTTTCTGACCGGGGTTCCCTCTACCTTTGGCTGATTTTTAATGCACAGTGTGGAGACCTGTTATTTTAGACCATTGCCCTGGGGTTGAAACTTAAGACATGAACGTTTAGAAGCTTTAGATCAGTAGGTCTCAGTCTTTTTTTTTTTTTTTTTTCCTTTTTTTGTCTTTTTTCGTGTCCGGCAACGGATCGCAACCCTCAGTGTCGCACCCGTACCGGACCAGGACCGGCAACGGGATCGCAACCCTCGGTGTTGCCCCCGCACCTCGCTCAGCCATTGAGCGGCTGGTCTGTATGTGGGATCCGAACCCTCGGCAGGAGCGCTGCCGCACTTCCCAAGCGGTGCACTGTAGCAGTGCGCCACCGGGCCGGCCCAGTAGTTCTCAGTCTTGTCTGCAGTAAAAATCAACCTAGATCCCTAGGCACTACTCCCAGGTAATTTGATATAATTGGTATAGGATAGAGCCTTGACATTGTGTTGTTTCTGACCGGGGTTCCCTCTACCTTTGGCTGATTTTTAATGCACAGTGTGGAGACCTGTTATTTTAGACCATTGCCCTGGGGTTGAAACTTAAGACATGAACTGCTGATATAGTCTTGACCTGGTTGTTAAATTCTCTTGTTACCCAGTCCAGCACCTCAATATCCTCAGGACTAGGACTGGCCTCACTGTTCCCTGGCACCTTCCCCACCTCTCTACCCAGTACCTAAATTTATGTGCTTCCTCTAAACCCAGTCTAGTCATGGGACCCTGTTAGCCTCGACACACTTCCTTCAAACTGACTGCACACCTGTCTGGTTTTCTGTATATTAATGCATGCTGAATTAATCATGGAAAGCTCCCTAGAGAAGATAAGATTCATCCTCAGTCATGAAATAAGGATAGGATTTACATAAGTGATAAGTTTAGGGATAGGGCATTAGTCCATGCTGAGGAAATGAGGTTTGTCTGGGAACAATGAGTAGTCTGAAACAGAAGATTTTGGGAATTTGAACAGCAGGAGACCATTTTGTTCAGCCTGTATGCTCAGCATCTAGCTCAATACTTATAGGAACATAATAGGCATTTAGTAAATATTTTTGAATGAATTAATGATTCCATCCACAGGGAAATGATCTAATTTCAAATGACATATTAAAGCCACCATTTTTAAGACTATAGTTTTGGGAGTTCCCTTCTTTTGGCTCCTATATTAGTTTTCTATTTCAAACAAACTTAGCAGCTTGAAACAACACTGACTTATCTCACAGTTTCTGTGGGTCAGGAGTCTGGCAGGGCTTCTCTGGGTCCTGCTCAGGGTCTCACCAGGCTGAAATCAAGGTGTCATCTGGGTCTGCAAACTCATCTGAGGCTGAGGTCACCTACCAGCTTAGTGGGTCTTTGTAGATTTCAGTTTCTTATCAGTGTAGGTCTGAGATGCCTGATTTCTTACTTACTGTCAACCGGAGGCCATTCTCAACTTGTAGAGGCTGCCTCCCAGGAAATTTGCTTCTTCAAAGCCAGCAGGAGAAAATTGGAAGAAATAATATCCAGAAACTTCGCAGATGTGATGAAAAAACATTAATCTGTGTGTCTAAGTAGCCCAACAGACTCCAAGTAAGACTTTTTGGAAAAAAGGATGTACCCATAGACATATTACATCTAACATCTGAAAGCCAAAGAGAGAATCCTGAAAGCAACAACTCAATAATATGGACAGCTGATTTCTCATCATAAACAATGTAGGACAGAAGGCAGTGAGATGACTTCGAAGTACTAAGAGAAAAAAACTGTCAGCCAAGAATTGGCTAATCAGTAAAACTGTTCTTCAAAAATGAAGGAGAGGGCCAGCCCCGTGGCTCACTTGGGAGAGTGCAGCGCTGGTAGCGCCGAGGCTGCGGGTTCGGATCCTATAGGGATGGCCGGTGCACTCACTGGCTGAGCGTGGTGCAGAGGACACCGTGCCGAGGGTTGCAATCCCCTTACCGGTCAAAAAAAAATGAAGGAGAAATTAAAATAAAGCCAGCAGGAGAATGTCTCTAACTTTTAATCTCTCTAACCTCTTTTAAGCACTCACCTAATTAGGTCAGGCGCACCCAGGGTAATCTCACCTAATTACATCAGGCCCACCCAGGGTAATCTCCCCTTTAACTCAGAATCAACTAATTTGGGACCTTATTTACATCTGCAAAATCATGGGAGTGATATCC